CAGGGTGTTCACAGGGAGATGTCTCCTTAGAGAATCATTAGGGTTGGAAAAGACCTGTAGGATCATCAATTCCAAATTCAAACCCTGCATTAAGAATTTGGGTCCTGAAGGAGAAAGATGGATTGTTCCAGTGCCTGCAGGGAGGAGATGTCTCCTTAGAGAATCATTAGGGTTGGAAAAGACCTGTAGGATCATCAAGTCCAACCAACACCGCGGTGTTCACCACTAAACCGTGTCCCCAGGTGCCACATCCATCACCTGCCAAGGGTTCTTTGAGTTCAGAGAATCAATAATGTTGTTTTAAGGGCCTCTCCACCCTGGTTGGGCAGGAGAGCTGAAGCTCTTGCAGGTGTGCTGTGTGATGAAAAGTAATTCCCAAAACACACTGACCTGTAGGAAATACTTTCCCCTGGAGGGATCAGTCCCAGAGGGGATGAGTCTTCCTGGAGCCCAGCAAAACGTGGATTTTTACCAGTCCAAAACCTCATCCAGCTTGTGGCTGAAACAAGGCCGTGCCAAGCTGTGGGTGAGCTGGCTGGGCACAGCTCCATTCCTCACTTTCAGAGTCTGGATTCTGAAGGCTTGTGCCTGGAGCTGCTCCATGGAGGAAGATTTATTTGCACGAGACAAGAACAAGAAGTGTCATTGTTGATCTGTGTGGGGACAGGAAAAGCCTGGCTGGCTGATTACCTCTGCTGGGCACTTTTTCTTACTGCAAGGGATAATTTGTTTCTGAATTAACTTCCTTTCTTGCCCTGTTTAAAGAGGGATTCTGTTTCTCTTGGGTCTCCATAGTTTGACCCTTTGTATGATGTGGTTGAGAAATGTGTTATTAGTCTGATAAAATCTTGGGTGTGGGGCAGACCTGGGGCACGTGGGACTCGGTGGATCTGGGCTTTTGGGGGAGCGTTGCCAGTTCTCACCATCCCAGAGCCACACTCAGCTGGATGTAGAGAGGAGGAGAGCAAAGCAAAATTGGTGCTATAATTTAAATGCCCTTTTTATGAGCTCAATTATTGGAGGATCAAGATAAAATTGCTGAGAACTCAACCTGGCATCTCATTAAATCACAGTCCAGCATTTCCTTGTGTGACTAATCCTGGGTGAAAATAGATTTTTCTTTTTTTTTCAGCTTTCTGGCCAAAGCAAGGGAGAATCAAATTTAGCTCAACTCAAACCCAAAAGGAACCTGGAGGCTTTGGCCAAACCAGACTTGATTTAGAGTCAGCTGAAAATGTCTTGCTAGTTCTCAGCTTTTTTGGAGGGGCTTTGGCTGTTCGCCCTTCAGATTTTTTTCCTCTTGGTGGGAATTTATTTAAGTGCTACTTGAAAAAAGTTGTTTCATTTTGAAAGTGACTTTCCTCTTGGCCTGAGCTATGCTGAGTTTTCTCCATGTGAACCAAATGACTTTTTTTTTTTTTTTATCCTTTACAAATATTTGCACAAGTCTAGTAGGTACTGCAGTTTTGGTTTGTATTATATTTGCATCTGGATTGTGGAATCAAAAGTGGGAGCTGTAAGTGTTAGACCAAGGAATAGGATTTGAGTCAGCTGAAAAATGGCTTAAATTTGAAGAAAAGCTTGAGAATGATGCAGAAGTGACTTGGCCTTGCACTGAAAGTGCTGAGACACCACTTCTTTCCCCCCAAATAAATGGATGTAACAGGAAGCCCAGACCGAGTGCAGATGAGGCTGCATTCTGCACAAAGGCAGAAAGGCTCAGGGACATCCCACCTTCTCTGTGACACCTGCTTAAAACTGGTTTTAATCTGGTTTGCCCTCACTAAATTAACTCCAGCTTGATTTATGAAGGTATTAGTGACCTAAATTGTGTGTACGTTGACCCTACTGGGCTGGAAATTTTTCAGTGGCCCACACCCAGCTTTACTGGTGTGGTACTGGGATTTAGGTGCAGTGTCAGTGTCAAAAGAGCTCTTCAGAGAAAAGCTGGGAGAAACTCTTATAGGTGTGAGAAGCCTCAAACTCCAGCACTGTGGATAGAATCATTTCAGATAAAAATGGTTAATAATGACAGTGTTTTCCTTGGTGTCTTGTAAATGTGCTCAGCGTTGCTAAATCTTCCAGAGCTGCTGCTGCTTCCACACTTTCCCAGTCCCTCAAGTTAAGGAAACACCAGGTTTTGGTGTGCCAGCCAGGAGAATTAGTGTGTATTTGAAAGCCATTCAGTAACAAAGAACAGCTTTTTAATGAAGTTTTCCCCTCCATACTCAGGAAGCTCTTGAGCTGGAGGGGTTTGTAACCCTGTAGAGTGGCACTGTTGGCAAGATTCTTGTCTCTGGAAATCATGGCCCTGGAGACAAGTTCCTGGAGCTGAAACATAACCCTGTCACTTCAGGGAGAAAGCTTTACTACAGGAGAACATGTGGCTTGCTTAATTATTGCATTTTATAATAGGTTTTTCCAAATAACTTTGTAGTTGAGTAGTTTCTTGCTAGGTCAGGTCCTGCCTGGTGGATGTGGTAGGGAAGAGATGATAAGAGATGAAGTGTTAGCACAGCTCTGTGAGCCACAGGCAGGTGATCCCTGCTTTGGCCATCTCTGGGGTAGAACTGATGTTCAAAATGCCCAGAAGAACCTTCCTTTTCAAAACAAATTAATGAGCTCAGCAGCTGAGGTTTGAAAACGCTGAGAGGAGAGCTCAAAATAAGGGTCATTTTTGCTGCTGGTGCATGAGCCACTCGCTCTTGGAGACCAGGTGGGTGAAGGTGGGAGAACTGAAGGTGTCAGACCCGCTTGAAGGTTCTCCAGTTGGTCTGAATCCCAGAGTTTGTGCCTTCCCCCTTGGCCTGTTGAACTGTAACACAAGGAGAATTGTCTGCTCTCCAGCCACAGCTGGATTGCAACCAAGGGCTTTGATTCAGTCGTGAAAACAAGTGTTGTCTGTGTTCCTTTGATCCCCTGGGAGGAAGGACAGGGATTGTTGCAGATCCAGACTGTTGGTTTAGTCCAGGAGAAAACTTGCACTCTATTTTCAATTACTTTTAGAAGGTATTTATTCCTCACCTTTGGACCTGCCTGGAGATTTGTCTCTTCCAAAGCTGATTTGAGTAGAAAAAGGACACAAGGGGCTGTGGTGGAGGAAATAAATGAAACAGTGTCATCTTTCTCATGACCTGTATTGTTCTAATTAAGCTGTTTGGTTTCTCTCAGACAAGTCCCTTTGTCAGATTAATTTATATGAGTCGGCTGCTTCCAATCTGTGATCAGGAAGTCAAACTCAGTCAGAAAATACTCAGTGGTGTGATTATTTTTGAATGCAAATTATGAAGAATGTGATAGAAAATACAATGTTCCCCTGACTAGAGCGTTTCCAGCCAAAGGTCTTCAGGAGCTGTTCATGGAAGAGCCTCCGGGGTGCATGGCTGTGGGAATACATGTTAAAAGGAATGAAGTGGGCTGGAATTATGGATGAGAAGTTGAAGGAGAAATAAATCCTATCATAGGACCCCAATAGGTGCTTTCTGGATGAATAAAAGGGAGCAAGCAGTTGAAATAACTTTGAACCAGGAAAAAAAAAAGAGGAGGGGGGGGGGAAAATCACTGTGAGGTAGGAAAACACTTCCATATCTTTTCCAGTGTTAAGAGGCAAGCCCTGTGTACATATTTCACCAGTGCTTTTCAGGAGGGTTGAGAAAGGAGTAGAGGGTTTAAAGGCAGAGGAGCTGCAGTCCAGGCTGGAACTATCCACCACCTGCAACTGCACCAAGCCCCAGAGTTTCCCAGCAGGAAAAATGACAAGTAACCAGGTCCCAGCTCTGTTTAAACATCCCAGGGTGGGGGCAGACCTGGTCTTCCATGGCCTCCAGAGGTGATCCCTGTGTTTATTTCAAACAGCTTGTTGCTAGTCTTTGTCTGGGGAGTCAAAACAGCCACCCCGTGCCCAGCAGGGCTGGATTGCAGCCATGGATTTCCCTGGGAGCAGGAATCCTGCCTGCTGCAGCCTCTGCGGATCTTGAGCAAGGAGGTCAGCTTGGTTTGTGTAACACATGTGCCAGAAAGGGGAAAAATAACAGCTGGGAGCAAAGGGGGAAAGCCATTACAACAGAGATCCACCCAAGGCAAAAGTGGAAATATATTGGTTTGGCACCTTGCCTTGATGTTTCCAGAAGCACTTTGGGGAATCAGGTGAAATGAAGTGTAATCTGCTTTCCAGTAATGTTTTTTAATAAGAGGCTTTTCTTGTAGAAGCTTCTGTAGCTCTGCAAATACTACGTGTGTTGTACTCTGTCATTCGGTGTCGTGGCTGTTAAAAAGCAGGTGGTGGAAGAGGGAGAGAATAAACCTTCAGATTGTGATGGTTGTGTCCCATAGAAACAGGGATGTCAAATTCTACAGAAAAAAACCCAGCAGAATTGGGTAATAGTAACTTAAAATCACTTCCTAAGACTTCAGAAGGGACTCTTTTACAACCAACAGCATCTTGTGTTTCTCAGGGTTGAAATGTGTGTTTGTAAACCTCCTGCACCAGGAGAGGGCAGGCCTTGGGTTGTGGTGCCAAGTGTTAACCATTCCCTCTTCCCCCACAGTTGCACTATAAAGTCCCTTCAGCGACGTCACGTTTGCATCAGCCGCCTGGAGAGGCCTCAGAATTGGGGTGAAAACTCCTGTGAAGTGAGATTTGTGATACTGGTCCTGGCTCCTCCTAAAATGGTGAGTGTTGGATTCTCCTAAGATGCTTTTTCCCTGGTCTCCTCCTAGGGTTAATAACTACTGCTTTTAAAACACGAGGGGATGTGAAAAGGCCTGAGACCTTCTCAGCAGTTGTCAAGATGATTCATACTCTCCTGAGGGGTGGATTTGTCAGCTGTGTCCTCGTCTCATGGCCTTGTAGCCTGACGGGGAGGAGGACACAGGTCCAATGTGTCTGCAGTCTCCATACACACCTGTGGTGCCTCTGTTACTCCACAGCTTCCCCCCCTCCTGCTTTACCACTTGAGCTGCTATTTTTAGAGCTGAGAAATGCTGTTCCTGGTGAAAGCCCTGCTTGTGAAAGGCTCTTGTGATTCCACAGCTGGTGCTCCTCTGGGTTACTTCCCAACCAACTCCCTTGGTGGGGCTCACAGTTACCCAATGCAGCAGCTCCAGATGATGTAACCAAGAGGAAGATGATGGAATTTTGGGCTCTACTGCTGTAGGAGTGAGACTGTTTGTGAGCTGGGGTGCTTGTAAGGTGTCCCTGAGGCCCTTTGGGATCTGTTTTCATAGCTTTTGGCACTTGAAAGGTCAAGATTGAAGCTTGCTCAGGTGTCCTTACTGGTTCTTTGGTGTAGACAAGGCCAACAAATGGCTCAGTGAACACATTTACTCCACTCATGGAATATCCTGCGTGGGAAGGGACCCACAAGAATCATCCAACTTCAGTATCATCAAGGTTGATTGGGGATCACCATCCTGTCTTCCTAGAAAGCACTGGCTTGACCAAGATGGGGTGTTCTTGCAGCTGATGGCCAAATGGTTCAAAGCTCAAGACCTTTTCACACTTAATCTGGCTCTTTACACTCTGGGGCTACTGAGTCTGTGCTTCTGGGAGGTGCTGGAGAGGCTGGAGACCTTTTCTGGGACAGGATATGTCCTGATTCAACTTCCTCCTCTCCAGTGCTATCGGTGTGACCTTGGGACCTGCTGGTCTGGCCTGTCTGTCTCCTCCCGCCCTTGTTTAAATGGAAATACTGGTGTTTCCTTCTTCCCCAGGATTTCTGGCCGATCCTTCCCAACTCAATGCTTTTGGCATTAGACCTCCAAGCCCAACAGGCTGAAAACATATTGCCTTTCCTTGGGAAAAGCAGGAGGCAAAACAGCTGGGCCCGTGTGGGATGGCGGGGATCCGTCCCTCATTGTGTGGCCTCGTTATCTCCGCGCAAAGCACCCGGCGAACGGCTCCGCATCCGCTCGGAGCCTGAACCTTTGCAATTCCAATGGACAGCCTCAAATTAAGGAAAGGGAGCGGAGGCCAAGCCAGGGCTGCAGCTGCCAATATGCTTTTTATTTGAAACGAGGTGATGCAGCCAGCTCCAAGTGCGCATTTCTGGTGCAGCAGTTAAAATAATTAACCTGCTGACAGCGACCGATTAAATGGGGAGGGGAGGGGAAAAAGGCCCAGAAAACGGGCATCTGTTGTGCTGACAGCCCAGATCCTTGGCCTTTTTAATATGGAGGATGGAAAAAACTTGAGTTTTCTTGCAGATATCTGTGCTCTTCCTCTGAATGGTTCAGTCATCTCCCTGGGAAAGCAAAGAACAGGGACAGCATTGGGAATCCTGAAGCAATCCTTGCGGCCTCCAGCCCAAGGGTTGCCGCTGCTCGGAGGTGAAAGATGGAGCCTCCCCTGTGATGGCAAATCCAGGCTGGTTCAGTCTGAAAGGACCAGGCTTGCAAACTCTAAAAGCAAGTCCCAGAGCAAATCCTTCCCTTAAATCCAAACTTTTCCCTAGAAACTTAAATGGAACGTGTCCTGGCAGATGTGTCTGAAGGGACTTTACTGGTGATGGAGGGGATGATGTTGGAGTCCTAGAATGGTTTGGGTTGGAGGGGACCCTAAAGACCGTCTCATTCCACCCCCTGCCATGAGCAGGGACACCTTCCACTGGCCCAGGTTGCTCCAGGCCTTTTCCAACCTGGCCTTGGACACTTCCAGGGATGGGGCAGCCAAAGCTTCTCTGGGCAAATGGAGGAGAGGGTGATGTGAGTGATGGAAGAAGCACAACGTCAGTGATGATTTTGGGACCAGCTTGGTGCCACCCACGTGTCTGTGCCTCTGCACCGAGCCACACTGAATTATTTGGTTGTGTTCATGAAGAAATCGTTCATCTGTTGTGTTATGAATCATGGGAAGCAGTTCAGATCAATCACATATGCTCCCTACTGCTTTTCACAGCAGTGTGAGGAGCTTGGAGGCTGCCCAAAGGAAGGGAGTTTGTTTGGGTGTCTTCAGTAGCTGCTGCGTGATGAGTGTGGAGAGTAGCAAAGGTGGGTGGGTTAAAACTTTGCCTCAAAGGGAGCTTTTAATGAGTTCTGGTTCTATGTAACTTTGCCTTGGTAGGTGTCTTATCTGTGGCCTGACCACAGTGGTGTGAGCAGTTGAGCAGATCAGGGTTTGTAGAGCTTGGGTTTGGTGGGTTTGTGCAGGGATGGGGAGCTCAGTCTCCTTTGCTGTTCCCTTTGTATCCAATATCCAAGGTGCTTGAAGCAATAGGAAAGCAGGCTTTCTATTCTGCTTGAAGTTGTACCCTGAAACATGAGGCCTGTGGCTCACAGAAATGTTCAAGCCCACAAAAGACATGTTTTCCTCAAGTGTTTTGAAAATTTCCTGTCCCTTCCAAATACTTAGTGAAGATGGACAAGTGCTGCTTGTGTGTGTGCTCAGCTGCTTCTTTCCCATCCTTCCCTCTGTGCCAGTACTTGCTTTAGCTGTGAGCTCTAAATCTCCACTTCTGCTGCCCGAATTACCCCAGGTGACCAAGTGAGCTGAGTTTTAATCCCCAGAAAATAGAGATCTGATGAAGCAGGTGAGCACAATAATCTCAGTCTTTCAGATAAGACATCAGGACACTTCTCGATGCTGGAACCTTGACTTACAGCACCTTTCCACCCCAGCAGCAAGTAATGCTGAGGTGCTGTGAGATAGCAAAGACTTGGATTTGTCTATTCTTAGCAGCCCTGAAGAGAAACCGGGGATAAAATGCATGCTCAGCATGATTCAGCTTTGTATCGAGTCCTGGGAAGTTGATCAAGTCAAAGTGATCAGTGCTTCTGGGCAGGACCTGCGTGGTGGTGCTTCACAAGGTTCTGCTGTGGTTGGTGATTTCACCTGCAACATCTTCCACGTGTTCCTCACCTTCTCCCTCAGGTGTCTCTGGGATCCTGGAAGCCAGGCAGCTTCCTCTTCAGATGGAAACCCAGTGGGTTTATCTTTCAGGAGCAAAAGAAAAATCGTTTTACAAGTTTATTTTTTTTTTCTGCTCAGAAAAGCACCAAAACNGCCACAGAAGTGGGCAGGACCTTTGCCACGATGTTTTCCGACATCACCTTTCGGCAGAAGCTCCTGGAGACCAAAACTGAGGAGGAGTTCAAGGAGGCCTTAGTCCACCAACGGCACTTGCTGACGGTGGTGAACCAGAGGCCCTCAGGGAGGAGCGATGGGCACAAATCACACGGTCATAAACCACTCAAGGTAAGGCTGGCCAGCACCTCTGCTTCACTCGTGTCCAGGTGCATAAATCCCGGGGGATTTGGGGTGAGGAGGTGAAGCACTTGAGTCCAGGGGATGCAAGAAGCTCTCCGAGGAAGCACCGAGGGTTCCCCGAACGCCTGCTGGGTGTCCATCCACCTTCCTCACTCCTGCTGTAAATTAAAAAAAAACAATGAAACCAAAAAAACACACTTCAAAGAGGCAGGTGCTGAAGGGATGCAGAGCAGTAGGGGGATGAAATGGTTACAGGACTTTGATTCCAGATGCTTAATCAAGGGTGGGATTAATGGATCACTGTGTGTTGTCGGTCCAAGGTACTTAATCCTTACAATCAGAAGGCTCCTAAGGAAGCTGCTGCTTGTCTTTCCCTCAGCCAAAAGGCTTCTTGGCCATCTCTGCACAGTAATTTCACTTAAAAAGTTGCCTGTCAGTATTTGGCCTGGCTTCTCCCTGTTTGATCTGTGGCTCTGTAAAGCATTACTTGCTCTGTGCTTTAAAGTTCGGGGGAAATGCTGTAACTCGGCTTTCTTTTCTGGAATTTCCTGTGTGTTGGTCATTGCTTTGTTTTTCCCTTCAGAAATCCATTCTTTAAGCAGACAGCATACCTGGAAAAACAAACTGGGCCATCTCCAGCATGCTGCTCCTGTCCCTGAATTACAAATAACCTGAAAGCTTTGGGTTGCCTACAGTGCAGGAGCTGCTTAACTTATCACTTCTCTCTTTTGTTTTTTTTTTTTTCCTGGGATAGATTTAAGGGGTTTGATCTGCACATCTGGAAATGAGCAAAGCTCATGTTTTTCCCTGCAGAATCCCCTTGCTTATTATAGGTAGTGCTTTGAACTTTGCTGGACCCCATACCTGCTCTTAAGTTTGCAGAACAAGTCTTGAAACCCTCTTTAAACCCAGGTTGTGCAGGGCAGGGATGTTTGGAGCAGTGATTTGGGTAAAGTAGGTTTAACCCTTTACACTTGGCCTTTCAGAGGAGGTGTTATTACAGTAGTTGAAGTGTCTGGCTCTGTCTTCTGCTAAAACTGGCCATTTTTAAAGGTGTCTAGGGAGAGTTTCTGCTCTGGTTTGGTGAGCAGGAGGGCTGGATGCAATGCTGAGCTTGTATTGGCCCTGGCACTGGTGATTCCTACCAGCCTTGTTGGAAAAGCAGCCTTGGCCAGGAAGGGCTTTGATGCCTCTGAGCCAGAGCTGTAGACAGTGACACTTGTTTCTCCAGCTCTTGCTTTTGGCATTGACAGTTGTCTGGAGTTGGTAAACTGTTGTTTTTAAACCCTTTTATCCTTCAGCCCTTGGGAGGTGCAGCCTGGGTTAGTGCCAACTCTGCTCTCTCATGTCCCTTGGAAGAAGCTCTTCCCCACCCTGCCTTGCCAGCACAGATCTTGAGAGCCAGGATGGAGGTGTCTTTTCCTGAGAGCCACCTCCAGCAGCATCCCCTCCCCCTGTGCAGTAACCTGGAGAGGAAGCATTTCACATGAGCACAACCTCACGTGAGACCAGGGGTGTAACTTCAACCTGTGAACTACCCCCAGTGAAATAAAAACCCTGGAGCTGCTGTATTCTTACAGTGAGCTCTCAGGAGGGTGGGAAGTCTCTTGGTGACATGAAAATCTGCCTCCTGCCTCCCTTCTTCCCTTGGTCCTGCAGTGAGGGGGGAGAAAAGGGCCTTAAATTCTGTGTGTGAGTGGGATTTTTGCAAGTGCTTGTTTTCACCTCTGCTGAAACACTGAGGGGGATGTGCCAGTCACATTCCATGCTGTGCCTACAGCACTGTCACTCTGCTTTGGCTCATCTCAGAGGATTATTTAGGCAAGGCTACGTACTCAATCATAATTAAGTCAGCCTGAAATCCTCTTGGTTACTGAGGCATCTAATTGTGATTTCGTTCATGGAGGAGCCCTGAACAGCTGTGATGTTTCCTGGCTGTGATTTTTGTGCCCTGTGTGGATTTGCTGGGGGAGGGGGGGGGCTGTGCTTGCTCAGCATCAGCAGGAGAGAGGATCTAGTGTGAGTCTCTGCTGTGCAAAACACTCATTCAGCCCTCCAGTACTTTTGGGGAGGGCTGAGAAGGGGTCAGAGTTGTTGGAGCTCATATTTTCTGTTTGGCTTTCTAGCTGCTGTTAAGTGCTGGCTCAGACTCTCCCAACAACCCAAGGAGTGGTCACCTAAGGCAAGAGACCTAAAGCAAGACATTATAGGGATTTCTAGAATGGAAAGTGGATAATTCATGACCTTCTAGTTGGAGGGTTTTTTGTGTATGTGTCCTCCTTTGCTGCTCTTTCCTGTTTTGTGTCTTAAGAGCAGTAGAGGAAAAGCCCTGGATGGACTTGCAAAGAGGAGAAGAAGGAGCTTGAAGGAGGATTTGGTGCTCCTGGGCTGCAGTTCCTAGAGCTAATAACCCTTGAGCTTTGTGTTCCTGAGGGATAAAGCTCTGGTCTCCTGGATAAGGCTACCTGGGGTCAGAATGTTAAATCAAAAGTGGTGGCAAAGCCTTGAGAGATGTGATATTATGAATGGGAGTGGGAAGCCAATGGGCCAACCAAACTTAACACTCTGAGGGAGAAAGAAGCAGGGAATAGCAGTCCAAGAAATTCCCAGCACTGGAGTGTACAAAGGAGATTAAAAAGGACAAAAGTGAAGTGTTGGCACTGTCCTTACCAAGGTTTTTGGAAAACTCAGAAGGTGGCAGGAGGCAAAAGCCAGACTGAAACATGCCTGGAGTAGAGTTGGACAGGAAGGGTGTGTGGTGGGATAGGTTGGGGGGTAAAAACAAAATCCAAAAAGGGCTGCAACTTCAGAGGTCAGTAAACTTGGTCTTTTATGTTTTATATTTTTTTATCTTTTATAACTTGGTGTTTTAGCAGCCTTCCAGTGCCTAAAGGGGACTGCAGGAAGGCTGGAGGGGGACTTGTGCAGGGACATGGAGTGACAGGACAAGAGGGAAGGGTGTTAGGCTAAAGGAGGGTAGATTTATGTTGGATATTGGGAGGAAATTGTTCCTTGTGAGTGTGGTGAGGCCTTGGCACAGGTTGGGCAGAGAAGCTGTGACTGCCCCTGGATCCCTGGAAGTGCCACTCACAGCTCCCTACAAACAGGCTTGGTGCCCAGGTGCCCTTTCCCTGCCTGCCCCAGGAGCTGCCCTGTGCCTCTGCCCCGGAAGATGAGACACCCTGAGCATCATTTTCCCCGTGCTCAGTGCAGCATGATAAGTAAACATCCTTGTCATTAAAGCCATTGTGATTCTCTGGCTGACTCATGCCTTCAGGAATCTCTTTCTGGGGGGAAAAAATTAAATTGCTTTCTGAGTGCATATGGCTTTGATGTCCAACCCCGCCACTGAATGTGGTTGAGGCTCTTGGCTTTTTCAGAAATCCTTAAAATGCTGATGTTTTGCTGGTGTCTGCCAGCGTAACATCTGTCTTTTCATCCCCATTCTTCAGGTTAGGCTTTAAACTGTCCTAAAATTCTACAGGGATGTTGGCAAATTGCAGCAGAAATAAGTATGAAATATGAGGTAACATATCCTGATAAAGGAGCTGGTCCTCTGAGGTGTCTTTTACACCCCAAACCCTCGAGTTTGTTGTGCCCAGTGCACTCCTCCTGAAGGAAAAGTTGCCTTTCTGTGTTTTATTTATCTGATCTTCCAGGTGCTGCAAACAGGTGAGTCCCAGCAGAGAAGGTAAAGCTGTGTGTAGTCTATTAAATGAGCACTGTAGCATCAAGTCCTTTCTAAAGCATTAATTTTTATCAGTTTCCACATAAACCAACCAAAGCAAGAGCTCCCTGCTGTTTTGAGATCATCTCTCCGTGTAAATTTTGGATCTGGGATTTTTTTATTTCCCCCCCCTTTACACCCTCTAGCAGAGGTTATAAGTCTTTTGTGTCTAATTCTGCACCAAATAGATGAAAAGTTTTAAATGAGCCAGCTGGGGTTGTTATCACTCTAGAAAGGTGCATTGGATTTTCAGAGTAGTGTGTGTGCTCTGAGAATAACAGGGGAAAAAAATCTGACAGGTGCCTCATTTGCAAGTGTTGCCTACTCTGACTCTTTCCATGTGCTTTCCATAAGGATGGAGTTGTGAGAGTTGGGAGGCTGAGAGTCAATAGCAGCTGTCACCTATTCCTGACAAGCTCCTTGTTGCCTGTGGTGAGCATCAGATCACATCACCAATCACTCTGCACCTTGCAGGCCCCCAGACCAGAAATAAAAGGGAATATGTTGGATGTTTGGAACCCTTTCACAATGTTCTTACTGCCTTTTAACGGGAAGAATTATGGTTTGGATTTATGTGAAGTTTATTCAAGCTTATTTTCTTTCGGTTTTGGAGTTTGAGGTGCAGAAAGCCTTAATTCCCTTACTACAGCTCTCTGAGGTCTCCTTTTCCCATGGAAATGCCAAAGGATGGAGCACTTGCTGGGCATCCCCTTCATGTGGATTTGGGGGAAGAGTTTTTTGTGCTGGAATCTAAAGAAGAAAGTTGGCATCTCTGGTGTGATGTTTAACCCCAGGGTACCCGAGGTCCAACCATCCCAGGGGATCATCAGCTCCCTCACCTGCAAAACCAGGGATGCAGATAGGAATGGGAGGGGAAAAAAGGGAAGGAAGGGAGGAAAACAGGGTGGTCTGGGGGGGGATATTTTCTCATTTACAATGCTACTGAGGATATAAATCGAGGCCCGACGAGTTTATTTTTATTATCACGACAAGATGGGGAGTTGAATGCCCTATTGAAAACGAGCAGCTCTGCCCCTCTCCGGGCTGAATGAGGAGGTTAATCTCTTTAACAATGCGTGAGCCTTTGCTCTGACACAGCACTTCCTTCCTTTCTTTAGCTGCACGAGTTTCTCAATGTTGGCAAGGGGATTTCTGATGACATTGCACGAAGGTTTCCAGTGTACGCGTTGGACTTCACCGATGGTACGTTGGCCAATGTTTATGAAAGCCTTGGCCTGGCTTGGGATTTATTCTTTTTTTTTTTTTTTGGTGGGTGATGTGATGTCCTGTTTACAGTGTGCATTGAACGTGTGCTTTGATATGTGTAATAGCCCTCTTATTCCTGATTTAAATAAGAATATTCGGACAAAAGGCTGTGAATGGGCAGGGCACTGGAGATGAGGAGCTTGCAGTGTTTCCTTAATTAAGGTGCTGGCTGGGTGTAGATGAGGATTTTAATTTTTATGAAGTAGTGAGGCCATTAAATGCATCGATTATTGCCACGTGGAGACTCAGATCAACTCATTGCAACCTAATTAGTCAGCACTGGCCTAATAAACCCTTTCTTCTGTCTTTGCAGTCCAGCATCAACAGTATTTCTAGTGATGCTGTGGGAGTTGAAAATGCTTAAGCAAAATGTGAGGGCTGCAGTAACTTCACAGCTTGGTGTTGAGAAAAACAGGATATAGCTTGTCTGCTCTCACCAGATCACAGCAGCAGCAACATGCTGTTTACACTGAGCCTCAGGTTTTGGGCTTTATGCAGCTCCACAGTGGCCTTGTGGGGTTTAAGAGTCGCTTTTTCCCATTTATCTTTCGAACTTTCAGGGATCCTTGAAGGCTGGGAGAAGTCCTTGGGGCAAACCTTGATTACAGAGCCCCAGCCTGCCATCAAAACATGTTTTTTGGGCTTACAGGGGAGCTGGTTAGTGTATTCACATATCAAATATAGAAAGTTTGCATAAAGTGAAGAAGCAGAGTGTAGGCAGGGAGAATCTTGGGGGTTTATCAGACACCTTCCTGCTGTTAGATTCTCCTCAGCTCAAGCCACAGCTGAGGGCAATCTCCCTTGGCTTAGGCATGAAAACAAGGTGCACACCCAAGCCCCAATTTGCAAAGTATTTTAGTGCAAAGCCACCTTTCACAACAGCTTAAGCCTGAGAGAAGAGTGGCCAGGCTGTGGATGTGTGTCCTTCCCACAAGGATGGTCACCACCAGCAGAGGAATGGTTGATGCTCAGCTGAAGGAGATGCTGCATCTTGGAAGTTGCTTCCCACAGAGATCCAGGTTTTTCAGCTAGGAATGCTTCATTCCCCACAATGTGTTGAGCAGTTACTGTTATCCACTCAGAGAATAAAATGGGATGAGCTGCTGGCTTGGCACAGGGGTTGAGAGCTGGATGCTTTCTCCAGCTGCTTTGGATGAAACTCTTCCCAGGAGTTTTAGGGCCATAGGCAGGCTCCATTTGGAGTCAAGCTGATGCTGATTTCTCTGGGGATTTGAGGTATGTTGAGGAGGAAGGAGGACACGTGATATGATTTTCAGGGCAGCAGCAAGGACTTTGGTCAAACAGAACAGATATTTCTTGGCCTGTGCATTGCTGGCATCAGGTCTGGTTGGGGACTTCAGCTCCTAAGCTGGACACTTCATCTCTGTGGCTGCTGCTTTGTAGAGTTGTCAGAGCCTCATTTTTCATTATAAAGGGATACTGAGGCACTTGAGAAGGGAATTGCTGCAGAAACACCTTTTGGGGACCCATGTTCACCTCAAGACAGGGCAGTGTCTGCCATGGCTGTGTCCTGAGCACAGCAGGTTCACAGCCACAAAATCCTATAATGCTTCTGCAGCCAACTTTTGGCTGTCAGCAGATTTGGAAACCTGTGGCAGGAAGAATGTAGTAAGAATTCCTTACTACATTCTTCCTGCCACAGAAACCCACTTGAGGGTCCATGATCTGGCTCGAAATGCATCCAAATTAACCTGTGTGTGCTGACTCAGCCCTGGGGAGTCCAGCTCCACAAGCTTTCCATGAACTGATGCACAGAGTGGATATAAAACTGGTATAAAATGCAAACTGTATGTTAAAAAGGGTCAGGGTATTGTTACAAAACTTGTGGAGACACAGAAAAGAGCCCAGTGAAACTCCAGAACCACTTCAGCTCAAATGGGAAGTTCTGGCCTTAGGAGCAGTTGTGCCCTTTCAAAATAGGATACAGGGAAAGGGGGATTTAAAAAAGAAAACCCTGTATATTAGTATGTGCCATTTCTTCCCTGAAGCCAGAAATTAGGATGAATTCTTTAAGGAGCTGCTTGAAATGAAAACCAGATGGAGCATAAAGCATCTGCCATAAACCACCGAGACCGAAGGTGATCAGGAATGTGGAATTCCTGGACCATCTCAAAGCAGCAGAGTATCAGAACATGAGGGATTTGAACTATCCAAGTGTATCTGCGCTCCAGACAGCCACATGTGCATCATCAAAGAGCTCTGAATTGCACAGATGCTGCTTTTTGAATGGTTGGAGTCTCTAAATCCTCAACCTGAGAAGCATCCTGGGGTTTGGTTTGGACAGATAAACCAATGAAGGGCAGGGTGATAAATGGTGAGGCTGTTGTGGGACCAGCACATCCTTGGTCAGTTGGAGTTCTGTGGATTGGTCCTCTTCACACACTGCACAAAGCTGGCCATTAAATTATCCTTACCCACCATGATTTAGGAAAGAAAGAATAGTCTTCCTCTTCTTTTTCCCTCTTACTCCAGATTAGGAACCTGTCAGCTTTGTTTTCTGAAGTCTTGTGCATCTTACTGAAGGTGCAGAGATCAAGGAAGAGTTTTCTAAACTCTTGGTCCAGGATTTTAGCATTATAGGTGCCTGTAATAGATGTCTTCCAGCAGGAGCACGTGAAGATGAACAGTTGGATCGTGCTGAGCTGAAAACCACCTGTAGTTTTCCTTTAAACTGGAATTCACACCATTTGGCACATGTTCTCTTCTTAATGTCTGCAGCCTTTGTATGCAGGATTCTGCTGTCTTAAAAACCAGTTTGATTGATCATCATTCATCCTGATCTTGTCAGAGAGGCTCAAAACACGTATCAATTTTATTACTCTTTACATCTCAGTCAAGCCACAGGAGCTTCCTGAAATTTCTTTATATTGAGGCTGGTTTGACTGAAGGAGGGAAACCTGCCTAAGCTCAAATACAAGTTTTCTGACACTCCTAAAAGTTGCTGTCTTTATTCTTCAGTGTCTATTTTTCTGGTACAACACAGAGGAATAAACACCAGCGTAGTGCCTGAAGTGTGCCCAGTGGGAAATTTGAGGTGCCAGAGATGTTTCTGGTGAGCTTTGCCATGTTCTGCCATATCCCTTCACCCCCTGGGGGGAGGCAGAGTGGAGGAGAAAGAGGAGAACTGAGCCTTATTCCCTTTCTCCCTGTTTTTCTGGACCTGTGTCTTTGGTACATGGCTGTGGTGGGTGGATAAGTTCAGCTGGAGATGTGGATTTCTCCCTGTCCTTGGTCCTGCAGAGGGTCCCTGACCAGCTCCTGAGAGTAAGGCCAGCATATCTGCTGGCAGAATCCTTGGAATTTGGTAAGGTATTTGCAGGAGGGAGATCCTCAGCACTCCCTGTAATGCAGGCATGCTCAGATGGAAGGCTTGAAGGCACTGGAAAAATGGGATTTGAAAGGGAACTCTTGCCCTGCTGGTTGTCTAACGGAACTCAGAGCTTAAACCTGCTGGAATGTTGCCTGTGGATTTGGATGTGCCAGGTCTTTGACTCTCCCACCTGGCTGGCCTGGCCACCTTGTCTGGCAGGATTCCATTCTTGAGGAAGGAGGAAAAGTGAAGGGATTGCAGATAATCTCTTCCATGCCTCTCCTGCCATGAGTTAGATATGAGGGAGCTCCTGCATCCCTTCATCCCCAAATATCACCTGAGGGCTGAAGTTGAACATCCTGATTTCTTGGATGCTTTGGGGCATCGTGACCTGGGTTGCTTTGAAGTCTCTCCCTGTCTCAGTGGTGACAGAAATGCTTTGGAGATGCACAGAAGCACCTTGTGTTGGCTGTGGATCTTCCTTCCAAGAGACCAGCACTTCATGGGAAATGGGCTGAAAGGAGCAAGAGAGGAAGGGAAAGCTCTGAGCCCTTGATTTATTCCTTCCTGCTTCTCTACTCTGAGCACTTGCTTGGCTTCTCCAACATCAGTAAGAGTGGATTTCCTTTTCCAGTGAAGTTCCTGGTCCCACTTGTGCTGTGATTTACTCTTCACAGGACTTCGGGGAAGATTCATCTCCAGAACATTAGGCAAAGTCCAGGAACCATGAAATAAGTGAAAACCCAGCTTGAGGGCATTAGAAGTTTTGTGGTTTTATGACTGAAGACCTATGATCAGATATTCTTGTAGTGTTTTTAACATTAAAATATGATTGTTTTTTTAATTAGGGCTTTAATAGACATGTCCTTTTTGCTGTGCTGTGGGTCAGTGTAATTAAACTTGTTTTGCACAGGATATTTCAGAGAATTGGCAAGGAACATTAACACAGACATGGACATTTCATAGAATGTCCATCAGTCAAGACTTTGATTTAGTAAATGTAAAATTAGTAGAGTTAAGGAGCCCTAAGTGCAGTCTTTGGGTCTCCATTTCCTTATTGATGTAAAATCCCAGGCAAAGCAAGGCCAGGAATGTTGCAGTTTTCTCTGAAACTCTCCCCTTGTCTCTAAAAAATGTGACATTTCAGAAATCCAGGCAAGTAAAGTAGAACTGTCATGTTGATGAACATAAAATATAATTGCTCCCCATTTCAATGTGTAGACATACACCTTAATTTCAGGGGATTGCTCCTGTAATAGTCAGCTACTCAAACCTCCCAGCTGGACCCAGAGCTGATTTTTTTCTGCTGTAAATGTTCATGGTGCAGGTGGAGTGACACGTTTTTCAGTGGCTTTATGAGCCTGTCACAGATGAAATCCCACCACAATGCAGCTCACCTTCTTCTGAGTGGAGTCATGTCAGTCCAGGGCTGCCAATGCAGCCTGAAAATGCTTTGCCAGATGTTGACTTTAAAAAGGCAAAAGGCAAATTGTGGTTAAGGCTGGATTTTAGTGCTTGTGATGGGTGGGTCTGTGCAAGGAGGCAGTGTTTGGTCAGGACTTTAACTGAAGTTAGAGTGAGCAATCATCTCTGTGAAAGGGTAGATTTTTGTGAGCAGTCATCCCTGTGAAATAGTAGATTTTTGTGAGCAGTCATCCCTATGAAATAGTAGATTTTTGTGAGCAGTCATCCCTGTGAAAGGGTAGATTTTTGTGAGCAGTCATCTCTGTGAAAGGGTAGATTTTTGTGAGCAGTCATCCCTGTGAAAGGGTAGATTTTTGTGAGCAGTCATCTCTGTGAAAGGGTAAATATAGCCTGGTGTAG